ACTCTTGCAGCAATACCTGCTGCTGATTTTGCTGCCGTTGCTGGCCGTCGCCTGCTTCGATTATAATTTGCACTGCAGTGTCTAATTCAGCGTGACGTACGCATCCATTATAAGCAGCAGAGATAAAATAATATACCTACATGCTAGTATTATACTATAATATATTTATATAAGTTCATTAATGCAAACCAACTAACTAGATATATCGTTTATTTTAAATTTAATTTATATGTCTAGTTGTTTAGTTGGTGTGTTATTAAGTTGAAAGACTCACTTAACCGATTTGATTGGTTAGGATGATATTAGAATTAATATAAAGGCGTAAAAATTTAGTTTTTATTTATACTGAAAATAATAGGTTTACCTTGTTTTATATTGTTTTAAGTCTTATTATATCGATTAGGCATAGTGTTACACTGTTTAAAATATCTGTGGTGTAAAGAGTAATCTTAAAACGGTGTCAAAATCCAACACCAAGTGGTGTTAATATAAACACCATGAATTATGGTTGGAAATGTTATATACAGCAAACACCAAAACGGTGTTTATCTAAAAATATTTGAGAAGTGCACCTACACAGAAAAAAAGGAATAGTTCATTTAACTATATTAATTTAGTTGACCCATAAGTATTTATTATTTATTTAAATCAACTATGGGAAGGTTAATATAAACAAAGATTAGTTTGACGGTACTAAACCAGATTGTTATTTTATTTTTTTTAAATTGGTTAAATTAACCTAGAAAACTTTAGTGAAACCAACCTTCTGTATGGTTCAGTTTACTAAATATGTTGTTTGTAAAATAAGAGTTACTTCAACCTAAAGCACTCTGTTAAAACGATTAAAACAATTTTCCGTGCATTCCTGTTGCATATATGCACACTATAGTGTGTACCGATCGCGGCAAAGGCGGTGTGGATCACGTGATGTTCTTAAATCTCGCCTCTGTTGACTTACATGAAGAGTATATAAGCTCAGGTAGTCCTTTGCTTTGATGTGACACTACAAGTTGTTCGATACTAAAGAGACTAAATAGGTGGAAACAGCTGTCAATACTTGAAGTATTTTAAGTTGGTGGAACGCAGTAAAAACATTATCTCTAGCGAGTTGAAGGTTCAATTTTCTGGAATAATACCACTGCTAATATACTAGTAAATTACTAGTAGTAATGCGTCAAGGAACTTCCTGTTTCCTTTTTTTCTGTGTAGTACGATTTAATTTGACCAAAAACTCATAATATTTAACACTGAAAAGGAGTTCAATTTACACCAGGTAAAATTTATTTTAATACTGTGTGAAAGTTAAATTTACACTATTTTTGTATTTGAATTTACACTGGACCAACGAACCATATTTAACACCATTTTGGTTTGTATCGATATAGACCATGTATGGTGTTAATTTGGTGTTAAAATGGTCATTAGTTTTGGCTAAGATTTAAAAAAATTAACACTATCTTAAAAAAACCGGTGAGTTTACTTATGCAAGCACGTTAGAAGTTATAGGTACTTCTTTGGCTCAGGAAAAAAGTTATTTTGCATAAAAACACGATTTGGGTAGTACATTGCGAAAAAAGGAGTAAGGGGAGTTGTTTTATATGTAATTATAATGCATAAATAGCGATATCATTATCTAGCAACAACAAAATTTATTTTGTCAATTTATAGGATTTTATAATAACTTTTAATTTAAAGGCACTATATACATTCAAAAACGTGAATTAAAAAATGTAGGGGTTTCTATGGTTTCTTTGGTAACGCTTTTCGCTTTTGTCAGTGGTAGTGACATTTCTATATTCAACAGGGCCGTGCGCAGGATTTTCTCATGGGGGGGTTTATCATTAAATTGTTAAACATATGTGTGTATGTATTTACAATAATAACACTGTCTTACAAATTTACTTATGTAAATTATGTTTGTAATTTTCATAATAAAATTGTATGTTCAGTTTTTTACATAAAATAAACAGTTTGCAACAATTACACTATCTTGCAACAGAGCTGAGATATTTTTTTTCGTGTTTAGGGCACCCAAAAATTTTAAAAAATACAAAAGATTTTTTTTGCCAATAGCTAATTTTGAACAACTATGCGAATTTATCCTACCATCTTTTAAATGTATGCCACTGTGCAAATTTGTCTTACTATTTCGTAAATGTATCCTACTGTGCGAATTAATACTACTGTGAAAATATTTTAAATTTTAATGTGCGAATATGTCTTTTAATTTTTTTTCTTGGCATTTTTTTATATCCAATCTATTCATTATGAAACTATAGTTTATTATAATGAATTAAACAAAATATTTTTCTAATTTTTTAAGTTGCAAAAACAATGACAAAAAAAATTGAGAAAACAATTGGTAGACCCCCTATAGAGATATTCAAAGAATAATTACTTTTTTAATAAAAAATTGTCACAAAGTGGCATTAAAAGTTTGGACTTGGTACTGTACAGATCTTCAAATGTGAAATCTACTGAAAACCTATTTTAATTCGTGACGCTTTTATCTTTAATCAGCGGGAAATAATGCATGTTATTACATGCAGTAAACAATTATCTGTGTAGGTAAAGGTGTAGCGCTCTTGCAGCAAGAGAGTAAAAGTAGCTGAGATCTGATAATTTCTCGATGCTGTCAATCATTGTAAACTATCCCGCCACCTTTTTGTTTTGTCATGCATAGATAATTTGATTGAGATACTCGAGCGCTACACAAATACATGATACTTTCAAGGGCTGTATTACCAATTTTTCCTATAGCATTAATGGGTAATTGCAGTATAGCGTTACTTGTAATTATGGTGATTTCAGATTTATTTGGAAACATAGTATAAGACTTTTTTGGCCATTCTCAGACTAATTAAATTCATATTGTTCCATTACATAACTTACTCCGTTTAGCAGCAAAGATATAAAGAGCCACATGCACTTCCTGGTAGTAACTAAACCAGACACCGCTTTACTTAAGTTACAATGCAACAAGAATTTAAAAATTTTGCGAGCTTAGGCATTTTATAAGATCCAGCATCTAGTAACTGAGATGCTTTCTAACCCGCCTATTTTACAATACGTAATTAAAACCAGCTGTCTACACCTACGCTAGAACTTTGAGAAAAACGAAACTGCATTGTTTTTGTATACAGGATGAATAGCGCGAGCTAAAAGCATTCCTTAATTTATCTAATTCCAATATAATTGGAGGATGGACGTTTGGTGATTTTTGTAGACCCAGGAAATTATTTATAAGTGTTTTAAATATATATTTATTAAATAAACTTTATATCTCACAACATTGGTTTACTAAATATTACAAGAACACTTTACGAGTGAATATATCCACGTTTTTATAGCAAACCCGGCTATATCCAATAAATAATAATAATGATGAGCATGTGGCTTGGATATGTCGATAATACTACTAAAATTTGTTCTGTTTTTTCATTTTTGCATTAAATTTATTTTGTTAATATTTTTGAATAATAAAGGTTTTTTCTTGCTACTCGGCAGAAAATACGTTGTTTCGTCCCCGATTCCACGGCAGAAAGTTTACGTTTTATGCATTGGTCAAGGCTATACGTATTTTCGGCCGAGGTAGTAAGAAAAGTTTCATTTCCTCCCGCTACCATGACAATGCTACAGTTTGATTGATTTTGAATGTAAACGTCAGAATTAAATTAAACGTCAGATTTTAATTTTGACACAAGTTTTTTTATACACATTTAATTTTTTCCCGTATTTTCTGCCGGGTAGCAAGAAAAATAGTATACACTACACGGGCAGAAAGTGTGAGAGCCCTGAACTGCGCGCCATGACGAAATATACTATTTTTCACATTTTATTCGGTTTTTGAGCAAAACCGGCTATATACAAAACATTTTTTGAAATTTTGACCTTAATATAAAGTTTTTGAAAACGAAAGTATGTCTTATAAATCAAGTACCACAAAGCCCACAAAACTCAAGTTTGCTTTTTCTTTTATCTGTAAAGGCCAGGAAACCGAGAGTTTTTGCCATTTCCCAACATTTTATTAAAGTGGATATAGCCGGTTTTGCACGGATGCTCCTCAATTGCAATTAAAAAAAAACTTCTGCCTGTTTTGAGCCTATTTTGCTTGGCTATTTTGTCTTTTTGGGTGCCTTTTTAAGAGCCTCTTTTCATGTGCATAAAAGTCTGATATCTTGTTATAAACAATAAAAATTATATTTTTCCTTATTAGAGCGTTGTATGGCACATCTATGTATTCTTGTAACATGGTTTCAATTAAAATTGAAAATTTTGTGCTAAAGCGTACAAAAGTCGTCGTACTTTTTGACCGCAAGAGCATAGATTTTCAAATTTGAATAAATTTCAAATAATTAATTCGGAGTAAATTTGACAATAATTACTAAACTTTTATTGTAATTATGTTACTTTTAAGACCTATGTTTTTAATTAAAAAAGGCACTTTGTTGTGAAAGCCCACCCCAAATTAAAGTTTATAACGCGTCTGAAGCAAACGGCTCTCATAAAGTTTTACAAATTATTAATTTGATAAATAAGAATCTCAGAGATTATATTTAAACTAATTATGATTTAACAAAGGTTTTTTAAGTATACAAAAAATTTCTTAAAATACTTTCTTAGGTTTATTAGTACCACTTAAAAGCATAGAACAGGGCATCCACTGTCTTCTAATACGTATAATTTAGTTGAAAAAGCTTAACTACTTGAGACGTGTAGAACATCTTTTAATAATATTTAATGAGAACGTTACTCTCTATGTATACTTTATTTTTAGCTATTATAAGTACATATTCCACGGATAATTGATATACATTATTACAGAATAATGATTAATTCCTCAACATAGTAATGTAGGAATCGTTGACTGAAACAAATCAGAAATGAGATTTAATTGAGATACATAATTCTACTTGATCAATCAAAAGTTGATTGAAACTACTTGTAAACAGATGTTAAGTTGTAATTTTAACATTTTTAATTATTTTTTTTATTTCCAGAGTTTGCAACCGTTCAAGCGAGATTTTCAACGTAATGTGTTCTCCAACCTCCTCCCCGAAATCCAATGGCAATGTAACCCCGAGACGTTCATCAAGCCACAACGATTCTTTTACCCGTTTGTTTGGCACCCCCGAGGCCAAAAAAATCGTGCCAAGGAGAGCCTCTCTTCCCAAACAAGGTGCGTAAAGAATATTTTTGTAAAAATAGTAACATTAACTATACCATCAGGGTCAGAATTTCTCAAACGGGCCACCTGAATTAGGTCAAAATTAGTTTTTGTTTGTAGATACATTTTTTTGATAGTATTTTACATCACTAACACAAATCCTAAAGGATTTTGTAAAAAAAAAATTTTCAATTGACATATTCATGATATTAAAAGTCAAAGTTTTTAATAATTAAAAAATAAAAAAATTCATTATGGCTGAACTAATTATCCGATTCCAACGATATAACTAGCGTTGGAATCTTGTTTTGACATAGATTCTTTGTTATTTTTTTCAATTGTCCTATTTTCATTTAGGTCGATTTTTTTTTGTTTTTTTTATACCAAATTCGGAAATAATTGCCTTCTGCGCCAGCTATCGACTCGAGAAAAAAAACACATATACTCCAATCATTTCTCGAAATTATGCTGCTGAGAAAAAAAATGGCCCGCAGGTTGACAAAAAGTTATTCGTCCTTTTGTGGCCGCGCGCGGTGTCAGCTCACGCTCCGAACCGTATACGCTGTACGCGCTTGTGACGCGACGTCTTACGGTGGTCTGGAACCTGCGGGCCATTTTTTTTCTCAGCAGCATAATTTCGAAAAATGATTGGAGTATATGTGTTTTTTTTTTTCGAGTCGATAGCTGGCGCAGAAGCCAATTATTTCCGAATTTGTTATAAAAAAAACAAAAAAAAATCGACCTAAATGAAAATTTTACAATTGAAAAAAATAACAAAGAATCTATGTCAAAACAAGATTCCAACGCTAGTTAAATCGTTGGAATCGGATAATTAGTTTAGCCATAATGATTTTTTTTTATTTTTTAATTACTAAAAACTTTTACTTTTAATATCATGAATATGTCAATTGAAAATTTTTTTTTTACAAAATCCTTTAGGATTTGTGTTAGTGATGTAAAATACTATCGAAAAAATGTATCTACAATCAAAAACTAATTTTGACCTAATTCAGGTGGCCCGTTTGAGAAATTCTGACCCATCATTAATTAAAATTAAAGACTTTAAAAATCAAATTATTTAACAAAAATCAATTCAAAAAATATCTTAATATTTAATTATAATCTGGTCAGCAGCCAAAATGTACATTCGATGCTACTATTTTTTTATGTATATTGGCCTGCTAATCTCGAAAACCAAAATTGTTTTTATGGATAGATTTTCGAGATATCATTTTTTGTTGCTATTTTCGTAGGCAGCTTTACAATTTGGTCCATATTCATCTCGAGCTAGAATCGACCAATCCAGTTGCAAAAAATGCAAAAATGTGTTTTTAAACAAAAATAAAAATTAAACATTTACCTTTTCGGCAAGAATAAATATAAATCATTGAAAAATGCCCATTTTTGAGTTATCCACGTATAATACATACTTTTACGTAGAAAACTAATTATTTTTTAAAGAAATCAATAAATGAGTATAAAAATTATGAACCTTTACGTACAGGTTGATCCCCTATCCCAAAAAATTTAAAAGTGTGGTTATGTGGGTACTAAAAAATACTTATGTTCTACGTATAAAGAAAATTGGAAAATTGATCTGTATACAGGGAAAAACAAAAAGTATATTTTTTTCCAATGGATCACCCTATATATGTATTTATTTTTCGATTCCTTGTAAAATTCTAAGCATATTTCATATAACATACCATATACCTAAATTTAACCATTTCTGTAATATTTAAATTATTTTTAAGATAATAATTTGAAATAGTTTGTGTTTTTCTGTCTGATTACCCCATTTTTACTTATTTAACAAGACATATTGACATAATGTGACTATAGTAATTTATTTTAAATAAAAATTTTGGTATACTGAGGCTTCTTGAATTCTAACAATTTAAAAACATTTAATGATAAGATTTCGAATGCGAATATTTTAGAAACGGTTGAGTTTACGTATATGGTTTGTTATATAATTTTGCTCAGAATTTTACAGGGAATCGAAAAATAAATTCATATATTTATATATATATTATTTTTCGATTCGATAATGTGGTTATGTAGGTACTATAGTACCTACATAACCACATTATTAAATTTTTTGGAAGACTTAAAATAAAAAAGTTAAAGGGGGCGACATTATAGGGGATAACCCTGTACATAAAGGTTCATAATTTTTATACACATTTATTGATTTCTTTAAAAAATAAGAAACTTTTTGGTTTTCCCTGTATATTAATCAATTTTCCATTTTTCTTTATACGTAGAAAAAAAGTATTTTTTAGTACCTACATAACCACACTTTTAAATTTTTTGGGAAACTTAAAATAAAAAAAGGGGGGCGACATTATAGGGGATCACCCTGTACAAGTAGAAAAATTCAAATTTTTGGACTTACATTGTTCATAGGGTTTACTGTAGTTTTATGTAATAAATTTGGAATCCAATTTGAGAAAATATTTTTTGTTTCTGCAGTCAATCTTTTCTTAGGTTATTTATACTCGTACTAAATATTTACTTAAGATTTTATTTTAATAACATTGAATAAATCTAATTATTAAACCTACTTAACCTGTCAAAAATCACCTAAAATACGAACACTTAAAATATACTAAATATGTTTTCAAAAAGCTATAAAAATTGTTCATATATTGTCTTCAAACTTTAACTGTTTGTGAATATTTCGGACAACTTTTAATTGTTTTCATCATTTAAAAAAAATTCTACCAATTTGCTAATTAAACTAACTTTGTAGCTCCAATAATAACGGAGTTAGAATGTTAGAAATGGTGAGCAGATAACTGGACGGTGTATAATATACACCGTCCAGTTATCTGTATATATGTACTTTAAAGCTGTCATAAAACTGTTAAATTTCCAAAAATTATATAATAAATTTTAAGTTATAAATGATTAAAATATTCTAAAACAGTTTCAGGGCATTTTAGACAGTATAAAACTGTCTAAAATGTTTCAAAATTGATCTACAAAATGCACACATATTATATATTATGTATATATATTATAATATTTATATATTTAAGAAAAATAATAAAAACAAATAATTTAAATTTTATAAAAAATGTTACGTGTTGATCGTTTAAAACATACTAAATATGGTAAAAAAAATATATTATCCAGAATATAAATTTAAATCTATGAAAAAGCAAAAGAACAATGATAATAAACGGATTTTTAATTAATTTAAAAAAGCCAACAAATAAATATTGCCTTAAAATGTGTATAGGTTAATTTTAAAAAATATCAAATTATATGGTATACCAAGTTAAATTGTTTTATAGAAGATTTCCGTAAAATGATTAATAATATAAAATATTTCCCGGCGCATTCGCCATTTTTAGTAAAAACAAACACAAAATCATATAAAAATCCTAAAATTCATGAAAAATCGTTAAGCAATGATAATAAACATTAAATTTTGTTTGATTAGTTTTTTAAAAAGGACCAAAATAATATTGTATAGGTTACTATATATTCAAATCCAAGCCGAACCAAACAAAAACGTGCAGACGCTTGCAAGCGCAAGTGGACGTGCTGGTTCTTATTGTCGATTCTGAGGGTGTGACTTGAATAATTATTGTGTTTACATTTAGTTCGCGTTAAATAAAATGCACTTTGGTTAATTTAAATAGAAATGCAAAAACTAATCCCGGCGCATCCGCCATTTTTGCAAAAAATAAAATTGATAAAAAATTTAATTAAAAAAATAGTAAATGGAATTTGTATCTGCAATTTAAAAATATATATAATATAATAGCCATTATACTTATATTATATTAAACATATATCACGGTGCTGTTCTAAGAAGTGATTTTCAGACTTTCAGTAAAACTTTTTTGTGATCAATGAATAAAAAATCCCACGGTTAGTTTTTTTATTTGATTATTTTATTTTCTTAAAAAGGTTTTTTAGCAATTTTTTATAAAATTGATCGTTTTTTACAATATACGATTAAAGTTTTAATTTAACTCAACTAATTAATTTATTTTAATTAAGACAATTCTTAAAAATAAGCTTTTTACTCAAGAAGAATATAAAATTATAAATGCAATGTAATGTATAATAGAAAACAATTTGTGTGTTATAATTTTAGCAACTTTAAGATATTCTGGGTATTCTTTACCCAACTTGTAACTGATCCAAAAAGCTGTCCAGTCTGCGCGCAAGCGCATGGGCAGCTTCAAATGCCTCCTCAATTTTCACTTTTTGCCTCCTGGTATAAATCACCCTGTACGAGTATATCAAAAGTATTGTTCAAAATGTGGAAAAAATAATCCTGTTAAAATTTGAGCTCTTAATGGTCCCTATGGGTTGGGTTGGGTTAATTGGTATTTTAGTTTTATCGTAACATAACATATCTTGAAATTATGACGTCATTCGGGACGGGAGCCACAGCGTTTTTTTTTTTACTTTTAACCTAAGATATCTTTTAAATGGTTTACGAAAAAAATATAGGATACCTTTTTTTTAAATCACAAATTCCTTGTATGTATTGGGCTTACCTTTATATTTATTTGTTAGTGAGATATACAAAAATTTTCATAGACCAATGCAAAATTGTGATGAGGAGGATCTTAAACATATTTGCAAATTTTTTACTACTTTTAACATATACTTTTTTTTATTTTTAGACGTAAACAACCGCAATTGCGTCACCGGTAACGGAGTGCAAAGTTATGACAGCAGACCAGCCAGCCGCAACACTCCTAGAGTTCACACAGGTAATGAAGAAATTAAAAAACTCTAAATTTTTTACAAAATATTTTTAATTTTCACAGAGAGAAACCCTGTGACCGGAGAAACCTATACCATCGTGAGCCCTGCCACCACCCCCACAAAACCAGTCCAAAATGGATTCGCCTATCCAAACGGCACCTCCACCCCTGTCCAAAACGGAAAATCCACTCCAATGTCCAACGGAAAATCTCCAATGTCCAACGGAAAATCAACCCCCATGATGAACGGAAAGTCCACTCCCATGATGAACGGAAAATCCACCCCGATTATGAACGGAAAAACCCCCAAGCAAAACGGAACACCCATCATGAACGGAAACGGACCCCTCAACGGACACGCTTAAAAAATTAAAGCGAGAAAATAATTTTTTAAATTTTCCCAAATTCCCTTTTATTAACTTATTAAAATTTTCCAGGCCTAACAAGTTCTCATAGATTCCAAAAAGAAGTACAATTCAGATAAAATCGTTTCATTATAATTAATCGAATAGTTATTTCATTACTTATATGTTATCAATCATTAATCAAATCATTTTATAATTTTAACATGTCAAACCAAATTTTACTTTAGAAACTTAAATATATAGGTAATATATTATATATTATTAAGTAATCGAATAAACTGTTACAATAAATAGATTCACTTTGTAATCATCTCATTTTAAACATTCAGTAACAGTTCGGATTTTGATCATTACAGGCACTTGTAAATATAAAATTCTATTTAACAAGTGCGTAGAAAACGCATTTAATATAACATATCCATAAATCAAAAAATGCAGCCTTATTTATTTATATTTAATAAAAAATAGCTTCATACATAAGTAGAAAGTATATTCATACACTTATTTGCCTTTTTTTATTATAATTATCATAATATTATGTTTTATATTATTTCATATCTATACTATACATATATTTAGACGTTAGAAATGTTATTTTGTAGGAAATAAATCTTTTATACTCCCAAAACATATTATTTAACATTACCCTTTACTGGGAACTCTCGATAGAATATAAACCCCAACGATTAACCCAAACAAACCGATAGCACTAGCAAAAATCTCGATTATTAAAATCTTAACAAACAGCGAAGGATTCGCCGCATCCGCTAGGGCAGCCCCCGAACCCACCAGCCCCACACAGACCCCGCAAAACAAATTTACAAAACCCACCGATACACCCGCTGTAAACATAAGCTGCCCTGCCATTAACAACATTTCCTTCAAATTTGCATCGTGAAGCAACTCTTTGCTGGAATACACCTCCAAGATCCCACACAACACAATGGAAGTTATCAACCCATATATGGCAACCGCTTCGCAAAATATCACCGATATTAAGTTCTTTGTTTTAATCCTTGGGGCTCTTACACCTCCACCAATTATGCTTACGCCTGTTGCGTATATTCCCAATGCGGCTCCGCACACCGATAAACTAACTGAAAAGCTTATTCCCAATGCTTGCCAAAAAACTGGTTCTCCTTCTGTCAAAAACCAGCCGATATTTATCTGTACACCCTTTCCAGTAAACAAAGAAAACAATACGTCGATCGTGGTCAAAAATACTGCAGATATAACGAATGTCCATATCAATATCTTTATCATTAATGTTTTTTTCAATAAAAACAGATTTAATACTGTAAGGTTAAGTCTGACAGTAATAGTTCAAATGTACCAATACCCACTCAATGTTTAAACCATAGAAAAATAAACATGATTCAACAAGTATCATGATGTTTAAATTTATAGATTATTGGTATGTTCAATGAACATTGTTCATTGACCCACACAAACTAAACTACAGTTCACCAGTTCCGAACTAGTAGTTAGGGCTAAGATCATGGACATATTAACAGTCGACGCGTAAAGCTTAGTTTTGTGTATTGAAGACTTCAAATTTTTAACACTTTATTTTAATTTGAAGTAGAGTGTTAAAAACCGAACTGAAATGTCAAATCCCTTAAAACAACAAGTTTGTTTTCTATGTTTTTGTTAAAATACCATCGAGCTCGATGTAAAATTCGATTTTGTCTTCGCTGTAGCGAGCAAATTTTACGAAAATACCATTCAAAATTCTGATTTAACTTCACAAATTACACCCATTAGACGCTTCGATGAGAACAATATCAGACACGGTCTTATTTACAGGAAACTTCCAATTTTTTATCAATAGTCGCGCTTGCCTTTAATACAAATTTATTATTCACAACGAGGTTTTTCATTAATTAATTTTCCTCTTACATTCACAATTAGGTTTTTCAAAATTTTCCTAGAAATATTCGGCACTTCCACTCTTCCTTTTCCTTTTGTACTATCCCCTCTTTCTTCTTTCTGAAAAATATCAAAATTCTAAAAACGTTTTTTCTAATTTGTTTTTCCTTCAAATCACTCAAAATTTTTCTTTTATATATATCTTCATCTTATCTCCAATTACTTTTCTCTAAAATATTTACTGAGCACTTTCCCCAAAATCCCCATGCGAGTAAAAGCGGAACATCACCAAACAACTAAAATAATCGGGATCCCTCTGCGGTATAAGGTCCACACAAGGAGGTTAATTACTCAAGTTTTAACCTTCTTGTCATCACAAAACTTTAACCCAAACACTCCCTCTCCTCTCACTTGTCTACCTTTTTTTTGTTTACCTATTTTATCAGCATTGCCTCAAAATTTTCCTAAACTTTCTAAATTTCTCTAAATTCCCTCTGTATACCTTTATACCATAGTTAAGCCGATTACAAAATTTTTAATGTATTATATTTAAATAAATTACTTTAGAATTTGGAATTTGGGTTGTAGAGTTTGTTTTTTCGTAAATAATGGTAACCATTATTATGAACCAATAGTGTTTGGAAAAAGTCAGGTTGAAACTTTTAGTTTCTCTTGATCAAATTTGTACACATTTAAATTCTGTGTCTGTTATATGATTAGCTGGCCATACACAGACGTTATTTCGCGCGGTTTATCGTGGCGTGTTGGGATGAAGCGGTTAGTATGCACGAAAGAACGGCATGGCAAAAAAAGCGTCATGTTCCATACACTTGATAAAGTATTCAAATGATTTAGCAAGTGATTGCGCGTTGTATATCAGTTACAAAGGAAAAATCGTATGTGAGTGGGCAAAAAGTGTCATTTATCGAGTCGTTTGAAACTGAATGTGATCATGTACAAATTTTCAACGTGAAATTTTGCCAAGCGAAGGTAAACCGAGACGCGGAATGTCGCGTGTGGCTTGTGGCGTTTGGACACTGCTGAAATGATGCCACACTCCACTGGAAAGCACGTCTGAAATCCCTTCCCGTTCTATCATGGCGCGCGGCGATACTCACTCACATACATGATTTTCCATATGTTTTTGCAGATAACACGATAAACCGCAGGCAATAACGTCTGTGTATGGCCAGCTTATAGCTTACGTTAAGGTGCGTACTGACTTGCAACAAATTTCTCCGAACGAACCAAACGCGCCGCGCGCACTGCATCAAATTGCGCCGAACAGAACAGAACGCGCCAAACTTTTTCTGATGATTGTCGGCAAAGGGATTTTCGCCGAATTTGCCCTGTTTGTTGGTTTTAATTCTTTATTTTTATTGATTGTTATATAATAATTATAAAATTATTATACGAAAGTGCAAAGATGGAAGATGAAGCAGGGAAGATAGATGATAGATAAATATGAAAAGCATTCTTTATTATAAGATGCCAAAAATGGGCAATATTTAATAAAAATAAAAAGTTTAACGCATGGGAACTGATTTGTGTTTCTATAAGAATGTTTGGTAAAAATTAATAATTACCCTGTTGTAAATGACCGATTAATTCCTTATAGAAACCAATTGAAGTATTGGTTGGTATCAATAGCTCTAAATTGGACTTACTGGCTTTAATTGGGAGCGATATAAAACAGAAATTGGTTTTTACTGGTATTTTCCATGATGGAAAAGTCCGATTAGGATTCTACTGTTTTTTAGTTTTTTCGATTGGTTAAAGCTACCAATAGGTAATTTACAATTGATTTCATTTGGGCATTCCCGATGTAAGATTCTAAAAAAGAATTGCTAATTGGTTATTCCCAATACTTAAAATATGGAAAAGTCCAATTAGGATTCTACTGTTTTATAGTGGTTTCGATTGGTTAAAGCTTCCCATAGGTAATTTCCAATTGAATTCAATTGGGCATTTCTAGTGTGAGATTCTAAAAAGGAATCTGCTAATTGATTATTCCCAATAGTTTAAAATATCGCAAGAGGGCTCTCGTGGAGCTGCGCAAAACCAACGTACGCATTCCTTGTTCGAATGGTTGAGACGCCTTTATAAAGAAACAAACAAGTCTTTGGACGCTATTTAATGTCGTTTTTTTATTAGTCGGTTTCTTTTATAATCTATGGTTTTCTGTGTTTAGTGGTAGTTGTGTACTTATAGTGGTGTGTACTTATACCTTAAAAAATGTTTAAATGTGTAAGGTTTAGGGACGATGGCGTGAGAATGGTGGTTACCAGTGGCGTGCAGGACGGGCCCCGCAGGGCCCGCGGTGCGGGGGGGCCCCCGACCTTAGGGGGGCCCCGTAGAGAACCACATTGGGTGGTATAAGTGACAAAGGGGCCCCAGCTTAAAATTTGCGGGGGGGCCCCCGATCACCTTTGCACGCTACTGGTGGTTACAGTGGACAAAATAAAAAAAATTTGACAAATAATTGATTTTGACCATGCCTACAAACATCCTTTGCAAGAAAGACAAAAAAAAGATTTTAACCGAGTAATTTTATTTATTTTTTATTACTTTTTTGTGTTAGTAAGTTATATGTATCAATACATATCTCACCGACACAAAAAAATAATAAAGAATTAAAGTTACTTAGTTATAATAATTTTTTTGTCTCTTCTGTGAAAAATGAATTCTTGTTTTTACCCGGTTATTTTTCTAGGATCTTAATTATTTTTTAATGATTATTTCCCTCATTATAATATGAACCAATCAAAAGCCTTGAATTTTCGAATAAATTTCGTTTAAATAAGCGATTAAATCACTAGAACTATTTAACAGCGATTAAATAAAAGCCTCCATATTGGATTTTTGTTTACGATTTTATGGTGTTATTTACAAGTTTTAACCAACATTTTTTAAAAAACAATACAAAATAAGTTATCTAGTTTACGAAATATCAATTATTACTTACTACATACCTTAAATTAATGGAATTTTCTTTAAAAAAATATTTATAAATTTTGACACATACGTCAGATTTTATGAATTGTCAAATAGTTTCCTTCAATTTAAATTTAATCTGTCAAACTATGCTCAGTAAGTTTTTTATTTGATTTTTCTTTTTGGAAAATAGTTTCATGCAAAATAATTAAAAAATAAAACCCCTCGACCGCTACGCGGTCTCGTGATTTTATTAAATTATTTTGCATTCAACATGTTCCAAGAAAAACCAAACAAAAAACTACTGAGCCTAGTTTAACCGATTAAATCCATAGTTCTCGTGATATAATATATGATTTCCCTCGTCTTAATTTCCACCAATCACAAACGCACAATTTTGAATTACAAATTGTTTCTAGGTGAAAAAACTGTGTGACAGCACCTGTCAGCAGTTTTTTCGAGTTTACCCGCGGCAAACCTTGACAGCTGTTGTCACCATGCTTCTTATTAAAATATTACTTAGGAACGTGTTTTTTCGATTTTTTTCGGAAAAATTAGATGCCCTTATGATATTACTTTCGAAAAATCAACTGGTATTTTTAATCCAAATTAAAAAAAATTAATTGGTTCAAATTGGTTTGAATGGGTTTGGCGCTATGAATTACCGATTCATTCCAGGTGCATTTCTATTGGATTTAGCCAATAGAGACAAGCATACTATGCTTAGCATAGGCATGGATTGGTAAATTCCAATTTAAGCCGCTGACTTTATTGGAACTTACCAATAGGAATGCAACTGAAATGAATTGGTGATTCAAAGCGCCAAAAAACATTTCAAACCAATTACTTATTTTTTATTGGATTATATCGCCGACGGTGGACTAGTGGTTAGTGCTGCTGACTACAAGCCGGAGGTCGTGGGTTCGAATCCCACCAGGGGTATGGCTGTTTATTTGAGTTTGTCCTATTGTGTAATAGTCCTTCGGAGGGGACTTTAAGCCCGCGGTCCGTTCCTACCCCTAACCCGCACAAGCCATTCAGTTGGCTTCTGGGACAGGAAGTAAGGGTGGAACTAAAAGAGCACTTTTGTATATAAACTTTTTTTTGTATTTACAATAACCTCAAATTTGACGTTTGCGTCAAAAGTCGCAAATACTCTAAACGTTTCTTTATTATGGTTTCCATGGCGACGCGTATCCGAGCGCGGCTATCTCGCGTTAACAATCTACCTTTTAGGTAATTTACAATACTAGCTACCTATGCAGATTTGCCTTTCAAACGTTGCTAATATTTCAGACTGAAGCTGTTTTTAAGACAAACCAGAGGCTTCTTCTAACCATTTTGTTACCTCATCTGACTAATAATCTGTATGTGGCTCGGGTTTAATTCCTCCCTTTTGGTTCATCAATTCCCGCCCGGATTTTACACATGCAGCAATCCAGCACTGCTACACCCCTTTC